ACACCTGGACTTCCTTTATCCTATCTTCATTCTTTAACCAGGAGTCCTTCGACAGCACCTTTAAGAATACACTACATTTGGATTTCACAGTAATGAAACTCGCCTCCAGTACTGAAAGTTTCATCAGCTTAGATAAATGCCAAATATTTAAAGCTAGTGGTCTAATCAGAAAAGTTCTCATTATACACCAACCTCATGTCAGTCCATGTTTTAGACATTTTTTAACAAGTCAACAGGTGACAAACACATTAGCTAATGAGTAGATCAATGCTGTTACACAAGAGACAGTGACTGATTCACAGCACAAATGAATTCTGAGCTTGAACCATGATAACCCATGAACTGGAAAACACTATCCAATACGGGAGAGAGTTCCATTTTAATGATTAAGATGAGTCATGCGTGAGCTTTTAAACACTGCCATAAAAAGTAATACAAGTTATTGTAGAGATGCTTATGGCTATCTGAAGTACAAAACACACTCAACTGAGCCAACTACTCCATAGTTTAGTTTTAAAGCTCACCTATTCTGTACTAGATTAGCTCCATTCAAGAGGGCACAAAATCCCACCTCTCAAACTCTACACAGATGGTAAAAGCACCCCATGAAAGAAAGGACAGACAAACTCATATTTTGTATGAAGTTCCTCGTATCTTATGGCACAACTGTATTTGAATATACCTGACCGAAATGCTGACAGCAATCTTTTTCCTTTATCTGAAATGTTAAAACAAAGCTGATGCAACTGCATATGTCTGCCTCTTAAAACATCTTCCACTCCCACTACCCACTAACACAGGCACTGCTTCCCGATTATGTGAATTTTTGTCAAGCTTACATTTTATGGAAAAGGTGTTTCCATTAAGTTTTACTTCCAACAACTTCTTGAAAATAAACAAAAAACCCAACATGGTCTGAATGACAATTTCTCCTCTATTTTTTCTAATAATATCCAACAATATAAAAATAGTCGCACTATTTTTTTCATTTGTAGCAGTGTTCTGAGTAAATGGAATAATTAATCCTCTGCGATGGAGGGGCCACCCCCACACAAAGTCTTATCGAATAGATAGTTCAGCTGCTGTTTTCCAAAAAAAGTGTTCCAGTATAGTGCATCCCTTCTATTTAAACACCAGCATTAATGAAATAAGCATTTCTTAAAGCGTAAAGAATCATAGCAATGAATATACACTTTTATTAGTAATCTCAGCTCAAATTAATGTTGCTCTCTGCTTTTCAAAAGGTCTAGAGTCCAGTTGTACTAACACCCATCACTGCTGAGGCGTACACATCAGATTAAATCCATTACTGAAACAAGGAAATGTTGCATATGTATGTCTTGCTGAGGTGCAATCATGCTCTTAGAGCTGTCCAAGAAATCTAGGATCTAATGATATTTTCCTCATTAAATGCAGGGGATTGTTAATTTTTTCTGTAAGGTAACACGATCATTTCCCTAAATCAGCTGTGCTGCAGAGCTAGAATTTCAACCCATCAGTAAGGGTATTTCTACTGAAGTTTTTATTAAAATTGGTATCATTCACACTAATCATCTCTTTATGCTGTCACAGGTTTTTCCCAGTAACTTACAACTCTGAGCTCTAAAGAGCTTCTATTAACAGCACAGAGCAATACCACCTTCCCAAAACTAGAATTCAAGACTAATAATTTGGCTCAGATTTTTTTTTTTTAATAGTAGTACTTCAAACAGCAAGAAAATGAAAAGTAGACACATGTTTTTCCCTGTTCACTTTGTAAAAGTGGTAGTCATGCAGGAGATTTTAAAAATTAAAGAAACAGGATTATAAAACCACAAAATTGACCCAGGGCCTTTGGGCATACAGAGTACTTAAGAGTTATAATTAATTTTCCTCTGTGACAAGACTTCAAACTAACTCTGGAATTCTGGAAGCTGTTTTAAATTTCCGCTATTCCAATATAGCAGTTCTAATCACAAATGAAACCACTTAGCATTTATTTCAAGATTAAAACTACTTCAACATATGTTAATAAATAGTGTATCTAACTCTTGCTAAGCTGTTGTACAAGAGGGCTGTACATAGCCCTGATCCAAGTGGGACAGGGCAGGCTGCCCTACCATCACACCACCTAACCAAGAAGAGGCTGCAATCAGGACACTTGCGTTTCTATCAATGACAAAAGTGTGGCCTCAGAGCATATCCTTTCTTAGTAGACCACACTGAGCTCAAACCTTTCACCACAGCCTTTTCTCCAGTTCTTCTTGACACCAGTAATGCTCTCACAAGTGGTTAGTCACACTAATGAAACCCAGAGTGGCTGGTAAGAAGTTGCATGGTGTAACACTCATTTCTGTGGATCAGTACCGGTATATACTTAAGCAGGTTCTGCACAGGAAGAGGCAAGACATGTTTCTCCTGAGCAAGTCCATTCCAGAAGTGTTTCAGTGTTATCCTTAGTTACTAGGACAGGGCCAGGAAGAAAGGCATAATTTCAAAATTAACAGAATTAAAACCAAATAAAGAAACACTGGAACAAGTGGAATATATGCACAGAGATGTAGTTTAAAAACTTGATGGTAAACAGTATTTTAAACATACAATGTAAGTGTTATTTACTTAACAAATTGGGTTTTAAAACAGGACACATCTTTACAGCCTCAATGTTTTCCTCACACATACAAGACCATGAGTTTCTGCTTTCAGGATCTCACAAACAGACTTGAACTCATATTTAGTTAAAACAAGTTGTCAAGTATAAGCTGCAAAGGCAGGAGCAAAACATGAGAACACTATGTCAAGAGAAAAGAATTTAAAGTTAAAACCAAACTGAGGCTGGAGTTCTAGGCAGCAGTGCAAAGTAATTATACATGTGGCAAATGCATAAAAAAAAACCTAAACTATTGCAGGGCAGATCTGACATCTGTGCTAGCAGCAGTGCTACAGATCATTAGTTATAGGCATTTCACACCAAGTGCTACAGAAGATAATTAAGCAGTGATGACATCAGCTCTGTCCCATCTCTTGACCTAGTGACATTCTTTTTTCCATTACAGGGGTTACGTCTTTCAAGAATGACCTCTTAGACATGTTACATGTTAAAGTTTGAGCAACCAAACTCTACTTACACAAGTTTTTTTCAAATAAAAACCCGCAGTTTTAATATTGCAATACATTTATATTTTACGGCATCTTAAAACAGGAGCTACATGCAAAGTTATAACAAGTGAATTAAATTTTAAATCCCTGATGAATTTTAATATTGTATCCTTTTAAAGTATAAATAATTTAGCATTTCCACTGACTAAAACCCAAATATTTTTTTCCATTTATGCTCTAACTAAAAGACCTATTAATTTGTCTCTAGCACCGTACACCTTTGATTTCTTAAAAATCATGCCTCTGCCAAATTAAAAAGAATTGTCAAAAAAATCATTCAGAAAACTATTTCTGGTGGTGTATAGAAGGCTACCCTGCATTCATTTTGCAATTCCAGATGCTAAGTTATTTAAAGAAATAAGTATACATACATGTAAGTATGAGTTAACATGCAGCCTCTAAAGTTGTCCTGTGGACACAGCTGGGAGACAAATCTCATGAGGCACATGCTCTAATAAAAACAGCTGTTACTAGAACACGGCCAAACTACTCCTGTACGGCCCAAGATGTAAAACGAAAAACAAACGACTACTTTTTCTCCCAGTTGTGTAATTTTTACGTGGGCATTGCTGCCACCGCATGGCCACACGCCTGAACTACGCACACCCTTCCTCTGCAACTCGCAGATGCTGACCGGCTCAGCACACTTACCCCTTCTACAAGCCCTCTCATTCCAGCTTTCTACTCCAGCCTCTCACAAAGCCCCATCATTGCCACCGATTTCCCAAATTACTTCCACCTAAAAGAAGATTAGAAGCAACTCAAAGCATTCAGATCTCGCTGACAGTCTCTTCCAAGTACAGGCCGCCAGCTGTAGGAACAATTCAGTGTTGTAGAGTTATGCCAAACCAATATTAACAAAGACTGAGGCAAAGATGGCATCGAGCACCCACAAAGACAACAGAAAACCAAGTGCCAGTCCAGGTAACTGAAGCCTAACCGATGTGCCAACAAAGGCTGAAACAGTTCCTTTCCTGATGTGCCTTCCCCAAAACATCCTCCCAGAAAGCCTGCTTTTAGGAAGCTGGACTCAGCACACTGCCCTGTCACCTGCAGAGGCTCAGTGATTTCAGAGCAGATTCCTCAAACTTCAGAGACATGGTGAGTTATGTCACCACAGAAAGGGAGTTCCATAATTTCTCACACACAACAAGCAGAAGTCTACATTCATTCAGGTTTACGAGCTCTTACAAGCATTAGCTTGCTTCATACTTGAGTTTTAACATACTTACATGTTACACCTGTTAAGAGTTATTGTTTTTGTAGTTTTGCTGCACATGACTTGGTTAGCTCATTTATGCAAGCACCAAAGGCACCACAGAAATACCAGCATATGCCATAGCTGCAGATTTAACTCCATCACCTGTGGATAAGGCTCCACTGGTCTGTATAACTCAGCAGCACCAATGAAGAGTTTGGACTCAACTTCCATATATTTGGGTGTCACATTTGAAATAATCCGAAGAAGCAGGTAGTCCTCAATAAACGTCATTTATAATATCTTCACCCTTTCTCTAGGTGATCCATGAAGATATGAGTTCTGCAGTTTATGAACCTATATGCTCACAAATCACTTTTTATTTGCACAACTATTTCACCTGTAGCTTTCTGAAAGGGAGTGGGGAAAAAATTTTATCACACGTATGACAACAAATACCACATGCCATTTTGGCAAGGCCAGAAAGGAAGTCAAAATGCCACAGGGCTTCCTGGAGAAAACTAGGCTACAGAAACCATTAATTCAAGAGTCACTATCTTTGAAGGACTGCATAAGAGAACAGCTCAGTCAACTAAATGTAAGGCAACTGAACGATCCCTGCTTTCTTTTGCATACCAATCAAGAAAAAGATGTGAATACTCACCTTTTTTGCTCTTTGTGCTATATTAGGCGTTCTAGTGAGAAGCTTTTCAATCAGGTATTCTCTGTTCTGCAAAATCAACATTTGCCAAGTTAAAAATCGATACAAGGAAAGAAGAAATTTCATGTAGATTTTAAGGCAGAGCAAAATTTACTCGTAGGGTTAAACGTTTTACCTTGGCTTTCTGGAAAAATTTGCATTTTAAAAGTTCTGCTGCTGTGGGCCTGAAAGATCAATAATAAATTAGAACAGAAAACAAAGACCCCTCTCAGTGAATACAGTACAAGACGTTAGTTAAATGGTACGTCTCTAATACTTTTGAATTAGTACTGTATGAATGGGGAATGAATGATAACAGCTACTGAATTAATTCACACATACTCACTTACCACACATGAAAAAATTAAGCCTCCCTACAGCAAAAATACCAAAGGAAAGAAAAAAAAAAGGGGAAAAAAAAAATCAGTCTCTAAGTTGCCAATTTTCCCCCTCTCAACACAACTCCATTTTATCCTTAAAACAAACAAAACAAAAGTCAGGTATCATGTTCTTTCCCAAGTGACTCTATGAACACAACTGAACTTTGCTCCACAGCAATAAAAGAATAATTACACTTTCCAAACAGTAGCATCAATACCTGCTACCTGCTTCTTCATTGATGTCAGCAGGTAGGTATTCACAAGCAACTATACTGACACTATTAACATGATGCATAAACCAAAAAAGAAAGTCATCAGGAGCATTTTCCAAACAAATCGACAAATAAAATCAAAGCAAGTTGTAAGGTCAAAACCTAGACATTTCACTTTTACTGAAGTGATTCCAACAGCAGGGTTTGTCTCCCCTAGCTTCAGCGATCTAAAAAGCTACTTATCCAGCCAAAGCCAGGCTCTGGTACTGAGACTCTGGAGTGAAAGCAAAGCATCTCTTGGGATGAAATAAAATCCTCCAGGTTCTTTTCATCCTTTCTATTAGGAGCCCATACCATTATCCAAGACTAATTTTGACATGTCTAAATTTAGAGAAGCTGAAATCTCCAAGATTCATCATTTCTAAATGAACAGAGGCAACATCTGCTATAGTTTCCCACTGGAATTAAAGCAAGAGATTGGATATAGCACAAACTAGATAAGACAGTGGAAAGCATCAATTTGGAAAATTTCAGTCTCAAAAAAAAACCCTCAAAATCTGAACTAGTTTATTTCTCTAAGGACGCATCTGAAGAATAAGTGAAGAAAAGAGGAGTAGGAAGTAGTGTGTATGTATATAACAGTTCACTCCCTCTAGAAAAAACGAAACAACTCCTGACATCAACAAAAAGCATCCAATTTAGACACAGACAGTAGCCCTTATTTTTCTTCCTCTCCAAAGCACCAAACCCTACAATAATGGTGTTCTTATTAGTGGTACTGTGAAGACCACCAGGCTTAGCAGTAATTCACAGAAACCTTGGATGAGCAAAAAGGAAGGGGAACATTAAAAAAAAAAAAAACACACAAAAAAAACAACAACAACAACAAAAAAAAAAACACCACAAAACTTCAGTTTCTGTGTCAAAGTTTTAAAGTTCTGTCTGAAATTTAGTCTTAAGACCAGTTTCAGTGATCCAGTACCACTACATCTCATAACGGGGATATGCACAGTGAAAAGCTAGATTCCTAGTAAAGTTTTATCCAAACTAGTGTTCTCCATTCCTCTACCATTAATTATGCCAGACACTTCTGAACTGGTCTGGACATGCTTTCTGGGCCTGTTTTCCACACAGGCTGCGGCAGTGAATTGCAGCTGAGGACTGTGAGCGGCATCCTTGGCACTGGGGAGAGAGAGAGAAACACCCACACACAGATCCCCAGAAGAAAAACATCCTGGTCTGAAGCAACAACAGTGCAATGCCAGTCCTGGAACTTGCCACAAAGAGCAGGCGCTTCTCCCACAAATGACTCAACAACTATGGAGGTATCTCCATGCAAAATTAAATCCTGGCCAGGGAGAAATGAAAAAAAATAGCAATGACCCCACAATACAAGGACACTCACTCCTTGGTTAGGAGTAACTAGCACATAGATCTCATCACCTATCTGCTGGTCTAATTGTTCAATTCAAGGCAATCCTGTGTATAAAGATATTGCATGTGTTTAAACATCAGTGTAACAAATTAGTGTAATTAGTTTAAACATTAATGTTTCAACGCTAATGTCATAACTACAGATTAGGTAACAGCATTATGGGTTCAATGAGAGAAGAAAAACGTTTTAATTATTTCTTTCTTATGTTTTCATACCAATTTAATCTAGCCCTGAAAACTGCTGGACACTGGAAACTAAAAGAAGCTTGATTACCCAGAACGCATTTCATTCTTATCTGTAAGCAGCCAAACTGCAGTGCTAAGCTTAAAGCATCAGGACTTGCTGCTAAGACCACCAATTGTAAAGGGTTTGGGAATCTGAAAACAGTACACAAATGATCCTTCAGTGAAAAAAAGCATTCGAAGGATTTAAGAATAAAGATGATGCCACAAAATCTTTTTTCTTAATTACACTTGTTCTCTAGTATTGCTGCTGTCACCTTTTCTACTTCACTCCCTGCAACAGCATCGTAGACTTAAGCTAGTGTAACATCAGTGAAGAGAAGTACACACCGTGAAAGACCCACACAGTACTCAGTCAGGATTGCGTTCTCAGAACTATCTTTTTTCCCAGAAATGCCAGCTCTGAAACTCTTCAAAAAAGTGATATATTAAATACTCTTAGGAAATAATGTGAAGTAGAATCTGCCTCCTCCAACTCTTCAGTAAAAGAAACCTACAAAAATAGGTCTGCATAAAAATGAATAAAGGATAAATAAATTAATCGTTCTGGGAACTTGGGACCTCAGCAATGGTTTTGGAATAGATGTTTAGTATTTTCATCATCTTGGCTATCCCATTCACAAAACACGGCAAGAAAGAACAAATCACAAAGATACTATGACACACAATTGCCTACATAAACATGAGGGAAACTCAAGCTTGGAGCCCCTAACTTTACAATAAAAAAATAAATACCTCTTAATAAGTAATTTTCTCTGGAAATATCCAAGATAAAGGCAATACTAAGCTTATGTCACAAAATTACAAAAATCAACATGAAATTATTTATTTTTAATTTATTTTAAAGGCCAAGAGACTGATCTGTTTGGTTACCAACAGTTCTGTCTGATGAATCTGAACAGTCTTATTAGACTTATGCACAATATCAAGATTTACATCTTGCCTCAGATGAGAAATTAAGATGTAGACCAAGACCAAGATTTCTGTTCGATCAGTTTAATTCAACAATGTATTTAAGTATAAATAAATTAGGTTAACAACCCAGAAGAAGAAAACTTAACTGACAATTAAGAGGCAATTTCTTGTCCTCAAACGAAGATGGCTGAAGGCTGCTGTTTACAAAATTCAAATCATACACTTAAAGATGATGTTTAAACACTGGAACTTTAACTAGTCTGTATATTTAAAAAAATAATTCCACCGTATATGGCAATAATGACCTACCTTTTGGAAGGATCTTTTTGAAGGCATAATGAAATTAGTTTTCTAAAGGATTTGCCATACTTTTTCATCATCTCCTTGTCCTCTACACCTGTCTCTAAAGTGGGAGGGTCGTTTTGAAGCGTCAGCATTAACACCTACAGTAAACCCCAAAAAGACATACTCTAAGCAAAATCAATTCAAAACATGTAGAAATTAAATATTTATGAGAATAAATATTCCACAGAATACATATACTTAGATATCTTGAGTTGCTATTGAAAACGAAGTAGGGCTATCTGGCAGCATTAATAATACACCTAACAGCATTAAGTAATGCAAAGTGATTGTTACTTTCATAGGAGGGTATTTGTGATAAGGTGCTGCTCCTGTTGCTAACTCAATGGCTGTTATCCCAAAACTCCACATATCAGCCTTGAAGTCATAACCTCGCACCTGGAATAGAACCAGAAGAGAAAAACAAGGTGGTGACATCTCAAGTTCCACAAATTAAAGACTAAAATAAAAATTTATTTTTTAAAAAACATTAGAAATACCTGCTCCATTACTTCAGGGGCCATCCAACATGGAGTACCAACAAATGTTTTCCTTACTTTGTTACGAGTAACATCACCTCCCGTTGCTAAAAACGCACTAACGCCAAAATCTGTGAAGAGGGAAGAAAGTCGAAATCTGTTAAACTACCAATAACAACGCAAAAATTTTACTATTTAGAAACTAAGGGAATTTACAAAGGTCTACTTACAGAAACTCTGCATTGCAGAGCCTACCTTTGTTTCATGACACACTGTTCTAAAAACTATACCATCCGTTCTGTAACATTTCATCTGGGAGATGTGGACTAGGATACCCTCAAGTTTAACCTCCTAGTATGTGTCTTCCCAAATACGGTTACAAAGGACTCCAGTATGCCTGTTACTTACAGTTTTCAAATGTGCACTTTGAGTCAAGGTTTAAAAGGTTTGCACCTGCTATTGTTCAAAGACAAGGACCTACTTCTGTACAGCTACTGAGTTTGAATGCAATTTAAACAAGAGGGAACACTGTTTATAAACTTAAATACTTATGGAGATTTGACGACTCAAAGATAATCAACAAAGTGATCAACAATACAGATGTAATAGTAGAAGATGACATGAATACTTTTTATCAAAGTCCAAAATAGCAAAACACCTTAGTGTTCCATTAACCTGTCACTACGTCAGTGACAGCTGTATGGGAGAGCTAGGGCATAAAAGAAGAAAGAATAGCAGATTACGAATGTATGGAGAAATACTGCCATTTTGAACGAAGCTATATGAAGAGTATTTTAGATTATGCTATTTACAATCCAGTTGTACTGAAATCAAGTAGTTTACTATAGACCTACTTCCATTTTTATTTTCCTATTGTTCCCTGACTTTAAGAGTGGGATTGGGGGTGGAATTGGTAACTACAGAAAATGTAGTTTTATCATTACTTTCCACTAAACAACTGTTAAGCATCACAGACTCAAATTTTGGATGTCTTCTATATCACTAAACACACAGAAATACAGTAGACAAGTAAGAACCAAGCTTCAAGCGTATTTTTTCCATTTTCCCTGCAGCTTGCCTGATGAATAAAAAACCCCATTTTTTTTCCTCAAAATCTTTAAGTTATAGAATAGACAGGTTTTGTTTGCATTTCTGAAAAGCATGAACAGACTCAGAAACACCTGCTTCTAAGTTTTTAATGCCCTAAAAATCAATGCTGGTATTAGTTTCCTGAACAGGAACTATTGTATATAAGGAAAAGCTGAATAGGCAGAAATAAAAGATCAATAAATGAATGCATAAATAAAGGAGAGATACGGAAAAAAAATTATGTCCTTTCACTACTGAAGAGAAATAGTTTGTATTGGACAATTGTTTACAGGTTCTTTCAAGAACTGAGATACACAGCTAAAACCCTGACTTAATCTTTGCTCCCCTACTGGTGTTCTTCCCTATTAACACAACATGAGTTTTGACATGGACAACAAACAACAAATATAAATGGGTGAGGGAGGACAGTGGAAAAAAAATCAACCCAAAAACTAAGTAAAATCTCTTCTTGCATAAGCTTCAAAATGAAATATTGCAACACCTCATGGAGAAAGATGTGATGAGTGTTTAATTAAGTCAAGTGAACATTTCACTATAGTACTAGTCAAACACTGTTCTATGTTTACAGAGAGGAAGAATGCTTTGATAGCTACTCAATAAAAACAAGACTTTAATTTCCCATCTCAGACATAGCTTTCACAAATATAGGTTATTTAAGAAAACACATGACCTAGAGTGGCAAGCTTCCTATCACACAGGACACAAAGTATTATTGAGAACAAGTTACATAAAAAGGAAAGTGAAATGTATTAAAGGAAAAGAGCTGAACAAGTCAATAGTCAGGCATTAAAAGTCACAGCTAATATCAAAGAAAAAACCAAATTTAATGAAGACCCCTGATTTAACTGTATTAGTAAAGCATTTTGAAATTAAAGGAATCAGAGCTGCCCAAATAAACATAGCCTACAAATCATTTATATCCTAACATCTTTTTCACCTCAGCCAGGGCTGGGCACTTGGCGAAGTCTCAGCCAAGACCAAGCTCTAGAGTCAGGATCAGGCTTGGGAAAAAGACAAAGCCACTGCTTCCACGGCAGCAGAGCTGCAAAGCCACTGCTGCAGGAAGGCACAGGCTGCAAAAATTTTTCTCCCCTAACTTTCTCACCTTGATGGTGGCTGTAGACTTTAGCCTAATGCTCAGCCAAGGCCATGTGTAGGGTTACGGTGAAGACTGGGAGAGAAATAAAGGATAAAAACTCCTATGAGAATGGGGCTGGCCAAGGAAAGCTTGAGTTGCCAAACAATTGTCCCTGAGAAATTTTTCTCCTCCATCTGGCTTGAGTATCTGAGGCTCTGCTTAATTTTAATTAGATCTTTTCCAGACATTTCTGTGGCTATGGATTACTACAGGAGAGAACACCCTGAGAACCACAGGTGCAATGGGTAAGTTCGCACAGTCACCTATGCACAACACCAAAGAGCAGGATCTTCTGCCTAGGCTCCTCAAAACAACATTCTGTTTCCGACAAGTTTTACTGAAATTGTCATTTCTTGTATGGACTAAATGCATCATACAGCCCATACCTTCTACACTTCCACCAATCTCTGTGTATGTTTGCTCTTCACTGTATGCTCCTTCCCTCATTTTGCATATCTGTTCCTTTACTGGTTTCTTTGATACTTTGACCGCTCCCAGGCAATTCAGTCTTAGAAGGTTGAAACCCTGATGAAGTACCAATCATCTTATTTGCCCAAAGCACCAGGTGTTAAAATCCCAATAGTTTTAAGTAGAATGTTGGAGCTAAGGAACTGCAGTGACTATTCAACACTGAATTTGTGAATAAGTCCTGCCCTGCACGGAGGAATTTTGTACTTTAAAAGTAAGTCTCCCCAAATTAAACAAAACAAAAAGATGTGAATTTTCCTCTTTCCCACCACAGACTGAGCAGATTCTCTGTGCAGAACCTTTGAGGCCCATAATCAGAGGTCTCTGTAGAGCTATCCCGGTTCTCCAGGGACTCTATGCTCTTCTGTACCTGCACAAATTCTTTTGTCAGAGAAACAGTGGGCTGAGCCTCATTTGTGAGCCATAGCCCCTTAGAACCCAGCAACGCTAAGGGACAACTGCGTCTTCAAATATTAATCCTCATACATATTAGCAGTGTGTGCTACGGATACATCTTTTCATTGTGGAAGCTTGGGCTGCAGGAGAACAAGCAGTCAAAAGAACCTAAGTTCTTCTAGCAAATAAAGAGAAGCAAAATTATCAGGTATGTATTCTTCAAAGATGAAAGGAGATTTTACTTTGTCAAGGCAAAAAGATGTAAAAAAGATGAATTTCAGCCTCTTTGACATTCAAAATTGGCTTTCAGTTAATGTGCAATGTTCAGCTGTCCCAAACAGAACAGCCTCACACCAACAAAGAAAAAAGTCAGACACTGCGGCACTTTTCACCTGAAGATGGTATTGAAACAATGCATCATAGAAAGACACATTCCATACATCTATCCAGCCACTGAATTTCCTCAGTCCCACATGCACCAAATGCCCTAGCAGCACAATTAGAGCTTTTACTCATTAAGATGCCTACAGCAAAAAAGAAGAAAAGGTCAAGAAACCAAGGTCTGGAGCTGAACTAGAAAAGGATAAATGAAGCTGTTGTTTGAATGTTATCTGATTAGTGGGGGAGTGGATTAATTATGTGTGAAAGTAACAATCTGAAGTCAACAGCTTTTTTTCAGATGGCTCATGAGACTTATCTTTCAACTTTAAAGTTCGGGGGTTTTTTTAATTAAGTTGGTTGTCTAAACATCTACTTCTTTACAATATGAAAAAATCTAAAAATACTTGAACACAGACCTAGAATCTCAGCAGTTGCCCAAAGTGCTATACAAAGTGAAGACAACTGTAGGGTGTAATCAAGTGAATAAATAAATATTAAGTATCTTATTAAAATTCAAGTCTGTGAAATTGACTACCTACTTAAAAAGTCTTGAACTCAAAACAGAAGACTGCTTCAATTAGTAAATGGCTCACTTGACAGCCAATCTTTTCCTGTCCATTTTCATAGACTTCAAAATATATGTTTACACGGTACTTTGAAAGCATTGTTTATGTAAAAAAGAACTTTTGGCTATAGCTATTTTCATTACTGAGGGCTACTAAACACAAAGCTCCCATCGCTGTGTCACAACCTACAAATTGCGAAAGGCCTGGGAGTATGCTGGGAGAGGGGGCAGGTGTCACCACCTGCTCGCTCTGTTTTCCAGTTATCTGATACTAACTCAGGAGATGAGATACGGGGTCTTACTCAGTACTTCAGCTCTTATGCATATCTAATAATTTGATTCTTATGGACTACCACTCAAGGAGGATATAGACACATTCAGAAGATATTTAAGATGCTAAACTGTATCCACCCAATACCATTGCAAGACAAATGGTAGAAATGTCAAAAATAATTCTCAGTAAGCTATATCTCATGCATCTCAGTAACTAGTTAAAGTTATAGCCAAGGTCCTCATGAAGAGCAGTACATACAGATTTTTGAATCCCCAAGAACTATTACAATTACTTGCAGAAACAAATTAAAAACTTGAACACAAATATGAGTTGTTACCATTTGCAAGCTGTTTAAGGTACATCAGTGATTCAAAAGGTAACATTAAGAGGACATTAAGAAATTTCCTTATATATTTGATGGGACACAGGAAAATACTGAATAAGTTCTAAATCATGTATTATTAACCAAGAACCCTGAAATCTGAAACTGGACAACTTGCAGCTACAGCACTCCAAAGGGGATAGTCAAAAGCCAATAGAAAAACTTTTATCTGTTACCCCTAATCCAACTGCAATTACCTCTTTCTTTTACTTAGCCACTAAACTTCCACTGTAATTACCTGCTATTTGTACAGAGCCATCTTCACCCAGAAGAATGTTGCCAGCCTTCAAATCTCTGGAATATATAAACAGAGGTTGTTTTTATGTATGAAAGTGCATATGAGCACATTTTATGTAGACGCATAAATAAATATTGCATACTAATTGGTTTCATAAGATAGCATTTTAAAATTTAAAAGACTGAAACAGGAACTGAAGTATAAAATGGAACTGATTTATAATAAAACAAAGCACAGAACTCAAACCCTCACAAACTCTCTCTCGTATAAAAAGACTCGAATTCAGCTTTGGCAAAAAATGAACAGAATTCAGGGACAGATTATTGAGAACAGAAATATTTAGGCCCAAAGCCTGTTTTACTGCCTTTTAATCTCACAAACTGAGAGCTTTCAGAGCTTTAAAGCAAGAATTAATGCTTTCTTACATCCAACTGCATCACCAATGGAAAAGAAAAGTCGAAAAAAGTTCTCCTCTTTAATCTCTTCAGAGACCGATCTTCAAGAAAGGTAAATATACTGCAGATTTCTACTCAACGAAGTTACTAAAGTTCAGGAATAGCAACCATATTTTGCTATAGGGTATCATGATGAAAAGTTACCTGACACTGAATCTGTCAAGAATTCAGCATGTGCTTAACAGTCAGCTATATTCATTTAACACACTCTTCTGGCATAAAGAAACCCTCTGGCTGTGTGGGGTCTTTTTTTGATAGAAACGTGCATCCCATTCTTAATGCACAGGATAAATCTTCCGTACAGAATATATCATGAACATTAAAAATTTGAGCAAACCAATCTTTCCAAGACTTACTGAAAATAATTAGCACATAGCTACCAAAATAGCTTCCTATATATAAACAAGAATGCATGAAAACGACAGAACAAAATCCCTGAACAATTTCAAAACATCTCCAACTGGCAAATACCACCTGATGCAGTGTTCCCTGAGCTACCACAGCTTTTGTCTAGAACATACATGGGAAAAGGAACACACACTGTATCATCTTGAACAGGACTTCTGTAGTACTGCACAGTTCACAAATTAGGTGCTATAAAAAAGGAGAAATCTCAGAGGTAACAAGTAAATCTCTCTCTTTTAATCTTTTCTAAGGTCCTTTAAGAATAGACAAATTCGCAAATCCGACCTCAGAGTCCTGTTACCCTTAAACGCTAATGAATGTTCCTTCCACAACAATATCAGCCTAACAGAAGACTATGAATTAAGGTTTGAGGCAGATCTTTGGCATTCCAGACCAGAAGTCAAGATAATTGTTCTTTATTTCTCCATTTATCTCAATTTTCTCTCTGCAAAAGGAGGAAACAGTTCTTGATTTACATCAGAGGCAGTTCATTTATAAGATGAGACATAAGAAGTACGCATAAAGAACAATTACTGTGCTACATCTGCACTACCTCCATTCTCAGAGTTCTGTCCGCAGCAAATCTGTTTCCTGTTTAAAAGATCCCCTTGTAAAAGGCTAATGCTTGAAACAGAGTGCCAGTTGTAGGCACCTTCCTTAAAAGGCAAATTCACCTCAGTAAAATTAAATTAATTAGGGAGGTCAGAGTACAGCTCTTCCAACATCCAAACAGTGGAAGTAACCCATCGATTGCTACAGCAGATATGTATAGACCGCCCCAGGGGATGTGCACAATTTACACTGAGGAAGTCAACAGAGAGAGAATATATAGAAGAGAACAATCACTAGAGATGTATATACACCAAGATGCAGTTCCATAGTACCAATCCCAGCTTCACTTGTGGTCATAAAGAAAGGTCTGTAGAATTGTAATAGACATTACTGACTACCAGGAAAATATAAGTTTCACATTTATACAGCAGTGTCTGAGTGCCCAAGATTACAGGTTTGTTGTCCAACACAATAACCAAGTCACAGATTGTATCCCATAAACTAGATTCAGATTAGATATCCGGAGTACCAGCAGGCACAGGAGCATAGACCACAGCTCTGGTAGCACGGACCTATCCTAACTATAAGACAGACAGACAGGATAAAGACCAAGCAAGTACTAAGTATTAGTGACAAACTGCGGTCAAGACTGCAGCATCTAGCCCAGCGTTATTACTTGATAACTACTGATCGCATTTACAGCATGTGAAAGAGGCAGTATAATTTGTTTAGCCAAGCAGCTGCAGCTGACCAGTATCAACAAACTATACATGCAACTTTGAAAATGCCCTTCATTGTGTATATGCGCCTACCTGTGAATTTGCCCATTCCTGTGTAGATAGTCTAAGCCCTCCAAAACTTCTTTAAGAATTGTTGCTATTATGGGTTCTTCAAGGACACCATTTTTGTGCTCTCCTCTATTGATAATATACTTTATTATATCAAGCATTGAACCTATAATTCAGATCCAGGGAAAAAAGCATATATACAGCATTATCACATCAGATTCTTGAGAAAGTTATACTTCTTCATTCTTTCCATGCTACTGCAATTTAAATTTTTGCATGTATGTGTAAAGACCTCATGTAACTAGCTATCAGAATAAAGCACACAGCTACCTCATGTAAACAAAGCACTGGTTTTTGTCAAGAATACGGTAACACTCAATGATCCATTAGAAAGATCTGCTAACAGCTTCTTAAGCTACCATTTATTAAAAATTCAGCAGCATTCCACATTTAAACAGACGTGCAGCAAAGGGTTTGGCTTATTATCCAGCTTAGATTATGGTTCATGTGTTCACAACATAAACAGGCAGCTGCAAGACTGGAAGGAGATAGTCTCTGCAAACAAATGATGACAACACCCCTAGTAACGCCCAGTTTGACATTGAACTTCAGTTATTATAAATTTCAAGGAATCTAAGAGCAACATTTTCTTTTTATACAAGCATTTTTCAACAGCCCACAGTAAACTCCTCTCAGGAATCACTGGTTTCTCTCAGAGTCTATGCTTGCTTTTGATTGAACTGAACAATTCAATCAAACGTGACGTAACAAGTGTTATTTTATAAGAACTTCCTGTTCTTGCTTTCTAGCACGATGGTGCAGTAGTCTGCTGCCATGAAGACTAATCTTGAAGAACATCATGTAGCAACCAGGACCACGACATCTTACATTGAAGCCTCACTCCTTTAAGCCACAAGCACATTCAGTTCAGCCCCTTTTTCCTCTCTCAGAACCAAGCAAGATTTTTATACCATTAATCACCATCATAAAAACTGTAACGAGTGTTTGGTTAGTTTAAGCTATAAAAAGGATGCAACATATAATGCCTATCCTAGGAAGAATCTTCCTTGAATATGGAATGAGAAACACTCGTTATGAAATGAGAAATACATGTGTTTTTACAAAACCAGAGTGGATTCTAGAGAAACTCAGAAAAAGGTCACACTGACAGAAGTGCTTTAATTCTCATCAGTT